GGTGACCCTCGCTAAGCCGCCCTCCCTTCGCGCTCAGCTGCTTTGCATCTGGCCCGCCTGCACCGCAAGGAATCGGACGCTGCTGCTCAGATGAATTTCCCGTCCACGGGCGCCGATGCAATTATCTCTGCTCTGCAGACGGAGAGTCCGAAGCACTGAGGATAAGTGACTTGTCCAAGGTGACTTCGCAGCCGAGTCCGAGAGCGGACTCTGAAGTCCTGGCTCCAGCCCCCTGCCCTGCCTGCGTCAGTTGCTAACATCGCCAGAGCTTTCTTCTGTGAGCACTGCGGCTGCATCCCGCTTTGCCCTGCTCCGCTCTGCTGCTCTGTGAGCAGGGACCGCTGCTACCTGCCTGCTAACGTGAACCAGGGAAATAGCCGTAGGGAAGCAATGCACTGCTTCAACGCAGCCGCCAGCACGCCTGCCGACAGGTCATTCTTTTTACACTTCATTTTGTAAAACAACCATTTGCATGCGCTTCTCCCCAGCGCAGGGATGAACCCATACTGCAGGGCCACTGCTTGGAGCACGACGCCCAGGACTGTGTCCGGGAATGCCTGAGATCCCCCAGCTGCAGGGTGGAGGAAGGAGTTTGCAGCCGTCCCCTCCCTGCTGCAGCCCCTGGGGCTGGTTCCAAGCCACCTGCATCAGCCCTTGCGCACTGGCTACACTTCTGCTTGTGTAGGTCATCCTTGTGTTGACGGGCAGAGACAGCCTGAAACCAAGGGCTGCCTTTGCAGCACTTGCTGTTGGGAAACTCCCTTGAGAGGCGTTTTAGAGGACATAGTGCTTAAGTTTGTTTTAAGTGAGCTGGAGGCAGGAAAAGACATGTAAATACCTGACTCCCTGCAGGATTTGGGTGCTGGTCCCTGGTTGAAAGTGCCTCCTCGGATAGACGCAGCGCAAGCTGCTTTCAGCATGGGGGCTGGCAATGGGGTGGTAGGAGAGACTCGGAGATGCTGGAGACCAGGGCACTTGCGGGTCTGGGGTCCAGGGCGTGGAGGTGGGAACCTTGTCCCACAGGTCGCACAGGTGGGCTGAGAGCCTGGAAGGGGAGGTGGGAAAGGGAGAGTTTCTGAGCAGGTCTCTCTGTGTCTCTGCGTTTCGGGGATGCTGTGCTCTCCAGGGAGCGGCAGCGGGCTCCTGGCTGCACCAGGGAGCCACAGCACAGCTTCATCCATGGGTGCCCGCAGGAAGGGCTTGGCCCGGGTGTCCTGTCCCAGAGCACATTGTGCCTGGGCTCAGGGTGGCCTGGGAGCTCCTCCCTTCTGACCTTGGTGGAGAGGAGCCTGGCCAGCCCGCCAGGCGTGGCTTGCTGGCTGTGCCAGGAGGTCCATCGCCTTCTATGGGCAATTAAAGTTTTTATGGAGCAGCTTTCTCACAGATGGTGGGGGCGTCCTGTGGCTTTTCAGGTGAATCCCGTGTGCCCTTTCCATTAGGGCAGTGGTTCCCAGACCGGGTTCCTGACAGGCTGCAGGAAAAGCGGGGGGCTGCGAGCAGCCCATGGGGGGAAAGGCTTGCTCTGGGCCCTGGTCTGGGTTGGAGGGTGATCGCTGCTGTCACTGGGGCTGGGTCCCGCGTTGCACACCCAGCACTACTGCACGGAGCTCGGTGGCTCTGGGACCCCTCATTGTGGGGCTTGCCCCAGATGCTCCCCCTCTGCGAGAGCAAAGAGCAGGCAGCCAAGGCCCTTTTGAGTGGCTGCTCCCCTGTCCCCCTTCCCTGTCTCTTGGGGCAAGCTTGTGTCTGCAGGCATGGAGGTAGCCTGGAGCCCCCAGGAGGGGCTTGCCCTGCGCACTGAGTGTTGGGGCTCTGGTGCTGCAAAGTGCAGCAGCTTTGGGCATATGGAAAAGTAACGGTGGCAGCTAGTGTGGCAGGTTCAGTCAGTAATCTTCCAGGCTCCCAACGTGTTTTCCTCTGTGCTTTATTTAGTGGTAACATATCACTCCCATCTTCTTGAGACCACCGCATGACAGCAACAAGATCAGCCTCCGTTTACCCCGCGCATTCAATTCAGATTACGTTCATGACATTATAACGGTGGCAGACAGGATTAAAAGTGTTACAAGCTGCAAGGAATCATCTTTCCTGTAACTGTCCCCTTGCAGCGCCCTGCCTGCTCAGGCATACCTGCTGAGCCAGGCATCCCTCCGCTAAGTCTTACTCCAGGTAGCAGCATGATTCCCCTGGGAGACTCCCGGCTGTGAAGTCTCCTCTGTAGCATCCCCAGGGCTGGCCTCTGAGCCTGACAACTGCAGGAGACCTCCATCTGGTGGGAACCACTCCCGGACGTTAGCTAAAGCCTCTCAAGCAAAATGAAGAGTGCTTCTTTGTAAAGTTAAATAACTCCTTCCCTGCAGTGCTTGCAACGCAGCACAGCAGCAGGGCCTGAAGCCCAGGGCGCAGGGCTCTCGGGCTTGGCTTGGGCTGCGACGTGCCTGGGGAGTTCTTAGCACGGGCATCTGTGGGAGAATAAATCAGCAGCTGAAGCGGCTGCAGAGAGACGCGAATCTGAAGCTGAGGGCAGGGTATCCAAGTTAAGGTGTCAGTGGAGCTGGGGACCAGCTTGTAGCTCTGGGAAGAGCTGTGTCCCCTGTGTTCTGGTTGTCAGAGTGCCCAGGGAAAGCTTTGTAGGGATGGCTGGGTCCTTTTGGTGGCTGAGGGCTGGGAAAGGGGAGGACAATGCTTTGCTGGGCTGTATCACATCTTGGCCATACCACGTCGTACAAGCGGGTCGGGGCCCCGGTGTGATGGGGATGGAGGGTGGGGCTGCTTCCCCAGCCCGGAGCAAAAGCACCCCTCTGCCCCCAAGAAAAGGGTTCGTGTGGACACTGCTGGCCCAGCCCGGTGCACAGGGGTGCAGCGTCAGTCTCCTGCGTGGGACCCTGAGAGCTTTCAGGCACGCCCTCGGCTCTTGCAGCTGGGCTCGTACCTGCTCCTTGATGCATTTCTCCCTGCTAACAGGGAGGAGAGGTGCGGGAGAGCTCTGTTCTGCAATTTGAAGGTCATCTGCCAGCTACAGTGGGAGGGGAAGCTCTCTGCAAGGCAGGCGTGAGGGGGTGCCGCTCCAGAGGTCCGCACAGGCGCTGCAAGGAGCCCGCTGTGCTGGCTCGCTGAGGGAGCCCGTGGCTGGGGGGGGACGGGCAGAGTGGCAGGCGTCCAGGACAGCAATGCTAATTAGCGCTCGGACTTGAAGAACAGAGAGCTCTGCTTTGCTTTGGGCTTTTTTTCCCCCTTTAAGGTTTAGCTGAAGGCCTTGTGGATAGCATGCAAATCAGGGCTTTCATTTGCATACTTTATTCGTGGTGATATTACGGTTCCCTTTGAATCCGTGCTGTCTCTGTGGGTGCCAGCCAGCCCTTGCCCTTCCTCCAGGCGCAGGTCCCCTATCTCTGCCGAGCTGTCCTGAGGCCAGGGACAGGAAAGTTTGCTCCTGCCGTGGCAGCCCGCCGTGCCAAAGGGGACACAGGGTAACAAACCCGTCCCTGGGCTCTGGGAGGGGAGGAGAGCTGGGCTCGTGCCCCCTGTGCTGTGGGTGGGGAGGAGGAGGATGCCGTGGGCCCCTGGCAGAGCCAGGAGCGGGACCTGGGGGGGGGCGATGGCTGAGTCCCGCTAGCCCCCACGCGCTCCCTGGGAGGGGATCCCCACGGCGGCTGGTGCTCCAGCCAGAGGCTGGGCTGCAGGGGGGGAGAAGGGGTCCCTCCGATGCACCTTTCTCCTCCCTGCCCCATCTGCCCTGAGGGTGCACGTCCGCAGCAGAGCCCTGCAGCAGGCTGGGCTGCATCACACCCCGGGAAGGACGGGGCTGCAGCAGGCTGGGCTGCGTACTGGCACTGTGTCCTTACTCTCTCCTCCCCTCTCCCTGCCAGGTTTGCATGTCTTCGCCATCGCCTTCGCCTTGGAGGTGTCAGTGGGGAAGACCAACACTGTGATGGCTCTGAATAACTCCAATGTCCTGCTGCCCTGCACCTTCACCACCTGCATAGGCTTTCAGGACCTGGTCTTCACATGGTATTTCAACTCGACAGAGATGGTGGGTGGCTTTCTGGGCTTTGCCTCTGTTTTCCTGGCAGGTCCTTTTGTGCTTTCGCAGTGCAGACCAGCACTGCAGTTTTCAAGGAGTCCCCTTTCTCCTCTCGCAGGATGCCTGTCCCTCCGAGTGTCTCCAGCTCTGGGGGGACAGGGCTGTGCAAACAGGGTGGTTCAAATACCCTGGCACATACGTGCGTTCGGCACAAAGCTGGTCTGGATTTTCTGCTGCCCACAGGCTCGTTTCTTTTCATAAATGGGTTGTAAATTGGCTGCTCAGATGCAAGGCTGCACTTCGGGCAAAATATGCTTAATTTTCTCCGCCTGCGCTTGCTCTGAAGTACTAAAGGTATAGATTTGCTTCCTGCTGGGAATATTCTGCTCTTCAAATCCATAGCAGGAGGGCTGGTTTAGAGCAAGTGTGTCCTCGCAGGCTGGCCAGCCCTGGGGTTCTCCCATCTTTTGCGCTGTCTGTAACATTGCTGCAAGGCAAGTCGGACTGATCTGTTGCTTCCCCAGTGGGCTGTGCGTCAGGTCTTTTTCTGCTTTAATGGGGTGTGCCGGGACGCTGCGTATCTGTGTGCGCAGAGGGCACCAGAAAGAGAACTCGAGCCTTTCCCTCACCTGGGGTTGTCAGGAGCCCAGCTGACCCCGCATCCTGCATCCCTGCCTCTGCAGATTTACCATGGTAAGATAAAGAGCAAAGCCTCGGAGCCCTTCCTCGTGGGTCGCAACCCACGGGTCGAGTTCGTCGGCTCAACTACTGGGAAGGACAACAACATCTCCATCGTCCTGAATAATGTGGAGTTCAGCGATGCTGGGAGATACACCTGCCACGTCAAGAACCCCAAGGAGAAGAACGCGCAGCACAACGCCACCATCTTCCTCGTGGTGGTCCAGAAGAGTAAGTGCCAGCCAGGGGTCCCGTGCTCCGCGAGTGGCACTGGGGCAGCGGGGATGCAAAGCCGGGTTGACCCCACCTTGGCTCATGGTTGTGGCAGTGCACGGGGTGTCCTGGCTTCTTGGAGATAGTTGGCATCCCTGAAGGGCAAGGCTTGGCCTCGTGCCCCCCTGTGCTGTGGGCCGGCGGCTGGTGGAGGGGGTTGCTGCTTTCCTGGGGGGGCCATGCAGCTGGGAGCTCCCTGCTCCCCTCCTGAGGCCCCTCAGCACCTTCTCTCCTGCAGTGGTGGAGGCAGACAACACTGTGACGCTCATCATCGTGGGCGT